CCTTTCTTTTCTAAGTGTCCCCCCTGCCACTGCCCCAGCCCAGCTCCCTGTCCTGCCCTGCCAGGGGAGGGGGGACCCTGGCACACCTTGATGTCAGGCCGGCTGGCGGTGCCACGTTTGATGAAGCTCCTTATGACGCCCCCACGTCCGGCAGAGCCCGGGGTGCCCTGCACAGCCTGCAGGAAGTTCCTCAGTGGCCTGACCACCTACGAGGAGAGGGAGGGAAGTCAGAACCTGTCAGGGACAGGGAGGCAAAGGGCCAGGACACTCACTCACCTTGCTAGCTGGAGAGGAACAGGGTGGAGCTGGGGTTGCTGGGTTCCTGTTCTTGTCATCCAGAGGGGAAAGGGGGCGACCCCCTGGCTGCTGCCCCCACAGAGCACCCATGGCCTGTTTGTAGTTCCTTGTCCTGATGGCATTAGCAAGAGGCACCTCAGGTCACCAGCCTGCTCTTTCCAGCAGCACTGACCTGCTGTGACATCCCTCCCCACCGGGTGGCTCCCCCAGAGGACACAGGGCAGCACGGGGGAGCAGAGGGCACTGCTGCTGCCCTGCCCACCCACAGCAGCTTCACCCCAGAGAAAACAGAGCAGAAGACTGAGGGCAAAGCTGAAAGCAGCTGAAACCTCCTATGAAACACCAGTCATAGAAGCAGTGAGGAAGCAAGTCAGCTATCCCAGACACTTGCACAAGAGAAAAATAGACAGTCCCCTGCTGATGTGGCCTTGGGAAACTGCTCCTGCCCCAGCCCTGGGCAAGCCCCTCAGGGTCACACCTGAGCTGGGGTAACTGTGCTGCCCCAGCTCCCTCTGCTGCTCTGGACATGATCTGCTCTCTGCTTCCCCAGCCACACCTGTGGCCAGACCCAAAACAGGCTCACAAAAGCACTTGCAACTCCCAGGAGATGAGATTTAGCCAAGTAAGGTTTCAAAACAACGTTGGAAGGGGCAGAGAGGCAAACACCCCAAGGTTGGGAAACAAATGGCTTAAAAGGTGGTTCCAGAGCAGTGGCTCCTACCAGATGCGTGAGGGATTCTCCTGGGACTTGGCAGTGCTGGGCTGCTCCTGCTCCTCCTTCTGGCTCTGGCTGCTGGGCTTTACAGAGCTTCCTGGGAAGAGACCTGTGTTAGCACCAGGTGCAGGGCACCTGCAGGGTCCAGCTCCTGCCTCCAGCTCCCTTGGGCTCTAAGCCCTGTGCCATGTACCCAGCCTGAGAAAGCAGGAGCCCAGATGGCCACCTGGAGCATCAGTGCTGTACAGTCCTGCACAGACCCCCCGAGACAAGCACAACCTGCCTCTCCCAGAGGCCTCCAGCTTCTCCTCCCTCTGCTCCAGCTGCTTCCCACATCCCACAGCTCCCTCAGGGGACAAACCAAAGGCCTCACCCTCCCTCTCTCCTTGCTTGGAGGCACAGTGAAGAAATGGGACCTGTGAATGCCCACGTGATGCCAAGCCCAGGGGAAAGGGACGTCAAGCTGCTTGAACAGAACATGGTCTTAGGTGGAAGATTCCAGGTCTAAGAGCCACTTCCTGTCATTACACAGACTGAAGCTGGACAGGGCAGCATTTGTCTCATGGCTTGGACACATTTACAAGATGTCCTTGCTTAGCTAACTGCACGTCTCACATCTTCCCTGAAAAATGACCTTGTCTGCTGCTTTTGTATTGACACAAGGCTCAGATTTGCCACAAAAGCCTCAAAGTAACTCCCTGCTCTGTATCTTTGGGGCTTCATGCAAGAAAAGCAAGACCAACTTGAAGTTACCTTCAGTGCTGCCTGCCTGCTGCTCTGCAGGAGGCACGTGCTGTGCAGGAGGGCTGGCAGCTTGGAGGCTTTTGCTTGAAGGGGGGACACCCTCAGCAGCCTGCAGGAACAGGAAATACACATTCCCTCAGCACAGCTGCTCCAAGGAATAGGGCTGCCATGGACATGCTGCCCTGGAGCAGCCAGTCCCCTCCAACTGCTAGGCTGGGCCCTGCTCCCCTCCCTCCTTACAACTTGCCTTTTTACTTGGGGGATGCAGTTCCAGCCCAGGTCTGTAAAAGAAAAGCTGTTGTCATTATTTCAGCTCTCTGAAGGGTGAGTTACAGGTGACAGAAGGATGATGGAGCCAGCAGATGTGACCCCAAGGGAAGTGCAGGTAGATCTAAGGACGCCCAGAGGCACAAACCTGCTTCATCCAGGCCACCCAGAGGTGGAACTGGGAACTCCTCAGACAGATCTGACCACCATCCAGACCAGGCTTCTGACAGGGAAGGGTTGTGCCTGAACAGCCCCAGCTTGGAACATCAACCAGCCCCCGTGACAACATCCCCTAAACCATCTGTCACAGGAGCAGCCCCACGTCCGTGGTGCTGGTGACCCCCAGAGCCCCCCGCAGGGAGCCTCACCTCACGCTGCTGCTCACATCATCTTCCACAAAAACCTCCAGGGAGCTTTGACCTGGAAGGGGAAACCACAAGTCAGCTTGGGAACTTCATTCTGAGGCTCCCCAGCAGCAGCAGCAGCAGCGTGTGGCAGAGCTGGGGCCCTGCAGGCTGCCCTGGCAGGGAACACACCGACGGCTCATCCCGGCTCCTGCCGCCCTCGGGTGTCCCTGGCAAACGGGGCTGGGATGGGAAGGCAGCTCCAGCTGCACAAACACGCTCCTGCCTGTGCCACAGACAGCCTCTCCCAGGCACTGGCTCCAGCTCCATGCAGAGATTGGGCGGATTGAGGCTGATTTCATCCCCCCCATCAGGCCACAGAGCTGGGACTGTGGCAACAAGCGCCTGGTTACAGCATGACTCAAAGCTGACACAGCCACAGGCCTGGGTGCTTCAGCAGGAGTCAGCCAGGTTCCAGGAGCAGCAGTTTTAGGAAGCCCAAACAGCCAAACCTTCCCAGGAGCAGTGGGAACAGAGGGGGTGAGGAGCTCAGCGCTGCCAGGAATAGCCTGATTTCTGGGCCCCATTTCCTCCGATGACTCTGCTATTTGATTCTCAGTCCATCCACTCTTCTACCTTCACCCAAAAAGCATTTCAGTTCCTCTGCCAACTTCCATCAAGTTTCAGGGCTGGAGACATCCCGTTCCTACAGACTTTTGGAGAGCTGGCAGAAGATGCTGCAGTGAAAGCCCCTCCCCAGGGAACTCTCTCATCTCTTCCCATCGACCAAGCCCCACGGATGCCCAGACCCAGCCAGACTCCATTCTCCCTCCCACTCTCGGGGTTGTTTTGCCCACGCACAACCCACGCATCCCAACCTCCAAGCCCTGTGCCTCCTTCACCTGCTGCAGCACAACACGGCTGAGCCTTGCTCTGTCAGCGGATGGGGACCTGCAGATCACACCCAGACAGGTGGAAGCCACAGGGCCTGTCAACAAAGAGCTCGAGAGGAGCCAGAGGGAACTCGGGGGAGCAGCTCCACAGCTGCTGCTCCACCCAGAGCCCAGGAGCTGATTCGGCCAAATGAAGACACTCAGCAACTCACAGACACTTACAGCTCACCCTGCTGGAGGCAGAGGATGATTCCTGCCCTGCTGCCTTCTTGGACCTCGCCCTGCTGACAGACCTCTGCATCGCGCTGGTCCTCCTGCCAGCCAGGGAACACCTCTGTGCCAGGGATGCCCTGTGGCTCCCGTGGGAACCTCCCACCAGGCTGCGGCGCCCAGAGCGACAGCGCGTTTTGGAGCTCCCCAGGGCCGTTCTGCTCTCAGAGGCTTGGAAAAGCAGCTTTGCGAGGCTTCCAGGAGACAGATCTGGTTGGAGCATGGCAGGATCTCCACCTCTAGCAGCCTTGGGGGTGGAGGTACTTGCTCTTCTTTTGGGGGCCTCCTCCTCCTCCGCCGTCAGGCCCCCAGGGATGGCAGGGGCAGAGGACACGTCCTGCAGCTCAGTGGCTGCAGCCCCCGTGGCAGCTCCATGGGCTCCATCCCTCCTGCCAGCACCCCCAGGGCAGTCCTGGCCATCTGCTGTCACCACGGGACCTTCTTCCAGTCCCTTCCCAGCTGGCTCAGGGAGCTCCCTGGCCTGGGACCTCCTGGCACAGCTGGGCACAGCCACCTCCTCCCCCTGAGCACTGGGCTTCTGGCCTTGCTCCTCCCTGTGCTGCTGTTGGGAGCTGGGTTTGGAAGATACTGCCTTGATGCTGCTTCTCCTTCTGGACAACCTGGAATAAAAAGTTTGAAATGAAGCAACAAAGAAGTCTCCCCCTCCCAAATGGGTTTTAGAGGGGGGAAAAATAAAAGCAGGTAACAAGTTTTGAGGTGAACCTGCAGGCTTCTTCCCTCCACCTTTCCCCCTCACAGGAGGAGCTGAACCTTGAGAGCTCTGGCAGACTCAGCTGGAGCAGCTCAGCCATTGCTGCCCAGTGCTCCCTGCGAGCAGACCTTGCTGGATGTCACCCCACCTGTGGCACCATACGGACACAACCTGCAGCTGAGGTGCCAGGACACTCCTTGCTCTCTGCAGCCAGGAACACGGAGCAGAACTGACACCAGGGGACACTAAAGTCATCCTGGTACAACCACCTCCACTCTGCCTGGAGCCAAGCACAGACATCCAGACAGGGAGGGAGTTTGGATGGAGAGTATCACAGCCTCCCGTGACCAGCTCCACGTGGAAGCTTCCCCTGTGGAGATCCTCAGGATCCCAGCTGGAACAAACAGGCTCTGCTGCTCCCCAGGATGAAGGGCACAACAGCTGGAAAAGGTGGGCAAGAAAACCCCCTGTGGGGCATCAACAAGGTTTTCCAGCCCTGCATGCATGACCACTAGCAGGCAGAAACTTGTCCCACTGCCAGCATTCCAGGCAACACCCTCCCCCTCCTCCCAGAGCCACATCCTCACTTTCCCACTCTGACCTCTACCAAGAGCAGAGACTTTTGGCTAGAATCAGCCAAAAAACACCAAGTGGGAAATGCCTCATTAACAATACAGCAAGAGCTGGGGTTTGAAAGCCAGGGCAAGGCAGACAACAATGGGCTGACCCTGCAGGATGGACCCACAGCAGGAGCTTCCTCTGGAGGAACAGGGGCCGGGATCTGTCACACCAGCAGCTCTTCCTCACAGCTTCACTGAGGGAAAACTCACACTGAGCTCGTGCTCTCCAGGGGACCAATCCAGCTGCTCCCTGAGCACCAGCAGCAGCTCCAGAGCTCTCCCCACTCAGATCTGCAGCAGCTCCCTCTCCTGCCCCCCGTCACCACACACGCATCAACTTCCCACACTTCCTTGCTATTCTTGCTGTTCTCTCCATCCTCCATGTCTGGTTTCTGACAATCTTCTACTTCTGACTCTCCCTACCCAGCTTCCGTGGCCTTTTCACCATGCTTATCAAGATGGAGGTGCCTTAACACTGAAGGGCCTTTCGGGGGGCCCTGGGTCCCCCTGCAGCAGCTGCTGCTGTGCCCACCCTCCCACCTGCTGGGCTGGAGGGAAGGTGACCCTGACACCCCACTGCTGGCCCAGGAGGGGACAGACACTCAGCTGCCACCAAGCAGTGGTGCTGATGAAGTTCATTAGCAGCCCTAGTTAGACGTGCAATTCAATCAAGCCCTACACCAGCCTGTCCTGGCATCTGTTTGCTGCTTAGGACCAGCTTTCAAAGCCTCCAGTGCAGTTGGTTCCAAGCAAACCACTTGGAATTCCCACTCCAGTGTTGGTGCTGATCCCTGGGAGCCCTCCTGTCCCCGCTGCAGCTACGGACACACCAGCTCTGCCTGGCACTGCTGGCACAAAGCAAACACCAGGGACAACCTCAGCTCAAAACCTGCACTGCAACAAAATCAAATCAAACAAATCTCAAGTCCAAAGAGACCAGAAGACAGAGTATTTCTTGCTCTTTGTTTATAAACAGAAAAAAAGAGAGAAGAAAAACATGGAAGTGAAGAAAAGCAGCAAAGTGCAGCCCAAGCCTTCAGAGGAGTCCAAGTGCTGATTGATCCTGACGTGCCCTTTTAAATGCATTTGCTAACTCGGGGAAGAAAGGGACAATTCCACATTGTTTTGTCTGGAAACTGTTACCATTCTGCTCCTCTCCTAAGCCCTGCCAAAGCAGCCCACCTACCTCCTCCTGCTCAGCTCCTCACTCTCCTCCTTCATTCCCCAGGACTGCCTTTTCCTGGGGCGCCTCCTCTGGGACGGCGCCTTGGGCATCAACTCAGGCTCGGCCCCGAAGTTGCTGTTGAGCAGACAAACGCACAAGACAGAGATTATTTGCCCCCACGGCTTCAAACAGCCCTGAGCCCAGCCCACGCACAAAGCAGAGGCCGCTTACAGAGGAAGGGGAGTGCTGGGTGAGAAACCGAGCCGTGCCAGCCCCCCAGCACCGGGGCCCGGCCCCAGCTGCCGAGCACACAGACCCCGTCACCAGCTACTCATTGAA